CCCCCCCCCCTGCTACACACACACACACACCCTGCGCACGCGTGGTTATGGTTTGACAAACGCGTTGGTCAACGGTCTAACAACTACGGCATGCAAAATATGAGTATACCCCCCCTCCTCCGTCGGCTGCTTGGACGGCGTGGCGGCAGGAACTACGGCACGCCATGCTTCGGGCTCAGAGAGTGGCCTCCGAGGCCCGTGAAGACGCCAAGAAGGGGAGGGCCGCCGATGAAGAAGAGGTGCTCCAAACGTGTACCTTGTTGTGTCCAACATCGTCTTGGTGCTGTTGACTCTAACTTGTACCGCGTTGTGTCCAGTATCGTCTATGCGCTGTTAGGTCTTCCGTGTACCGCGTTGTGTCTAATAGTCTTGGTGCTGTTTAGTCTACCTTGTACCGTGTTGTGTCCATCGATTGTTGCATTGTCGTCGCTCTCGGAATGTATCCAGTTTTGTCGGTCCAGGGACAAACGTTTGCTGGATGCTTACCTGAACTACTTTGTTTGGGCGCCCGACGCTCTGTACGTAGTGTGCAGAAGCACAAGTCGGGGCTTCAGCAGGGATCCCCCCCTTTTACTTGCCGTAAGCAGTCGCGTTGTTTGTAGGTGTCGTCTGTGCTGTTTATCCGCCCCGCGCTTGGTGTCATTGAGACCAGCTCAAGCCTTTGCTGTCGTCCTGTTTGCGGTCCGACGGGGCATTGCTGCCACCCTTTGCTCTCCACGCGGACACCTGTCAGATGAGGAAGTGCAGGAGCTACATGGCCTATCAAGTGCAGGCTATCACGGAGAGGGTCAAGGGGACTTGTGAAGATGTCGAGAGCGAGTTGCACCGCCAAATTCAGGTACGGGCGGGCGGAGTACCATGTTTTTTTTTTTTTTGGCACAGGAAGCCTGTCCGAGTATGATGTTGCGTTCGATGGTTTCTGTCACCCAATCGACCTCCCATCACATATCTGTGTTCGTGTCTTCCTCTGTGTTTCCCCATCTTTTCTCTCCTGCGTCCGTTCTATTTCATTTATCTCTGTTCTGTGTCCGTGGCCTTCAGAGGGGTCGAGGTCAACTTCAGTCACCATGCTCTTCCGTCTGTTTGTCCTGTCTCGAAAAGGTCGCCTGGTGAAGGTCGACCAAGAAAATATGACAAAACGGCAGGAACAACACCTTGAATGATATATTCCATGCCTTCTGCGACCGAACATCACAGCCCCCCCCCCCGCCCCCCACCCCCGGGCGCTGCCCGAATTGCACCAGCTTCGAAAGGACGAGGTTTGTATGCTGCGGGAACAACGGGCGGAGGCGGAGGAGCTGTACGAAGCGCGGGCCGTTCGGCTGGAGAGCCTGCTTGAGGAGTGGAAGGGAAAACACGCCGCCCTTCGCCGCAGGTTCTCTCTCGAGACGGAAGGTTTCCGCCGCGACGCCGACAACATCGGCAGGTGACAAAATGGGCCGGTTGATGTGTTTCCAAGTGGGCGTAGGGGTGCCGGGGTCAAGTGTGGGACATTTTTTGTGGTTGATGCTGTAATTTTGTAATTTTGTAATTTTGTGATTTTGTGATTTTGCCTCGCGGGACCCGTCAAGCCCCGGTGGTGAGACTTTATAACCCACACGGTTGGGGTCCCCTTCTTAAATGGTGGTGCAGCTGATAACGACCGCCTCATGATAGGGCAACGCCTCATTCAATGTGTAGAAACTTGGATATTCCGTCTACAGTTAGTGTCCCAGCCAATTCCACCCGCCTTTGTTAGGGCGACCTCCGTATTCAGACCGCCTTATTCGTGGACCTCCACTGCTGGACCGGTTTATTCTCCGTACTTCTCAAATCGCAGTGACAAGAGTGTCTACAAGCGTTCCGGAAAATCCTTTCCACGTTGTCCGAATCCACACGCTTTCCACCCCAACCCAAAAACCTTCATTCGACGTTGCGTTCCCAAACTGAAAACACCCTAAACGAAACGAAAAACAACCCCAACCTTCTAGCATTATAGATGCGCATCGATCGCTCATTATTCATTTTCGTTTCACCTCGCTTCGCTAACAACAACCCGCAGGCGGTTCGAGCGCATACGCGCGGGCCCCCCAGGAGGCCGGCCGGCCATCTCGAGCAGGAGTGGGTCTAGCGCAAGGCTTGCCGTCGAGCGCGCGTTCCATCCCCGGGAGGCGGCAGGCGGCGGGGGCACGGCTGCGGCGGGCGTTTTTGGGCAGCTGGGGGGCGGGCACCGCTACCCATCGGCGTAGGTAGAAAGCGCGTGCGCGTTTGTGTGTTTTATTATTAGCATCGACCGCGCCAACCGGCCTGGCCAATGAAAAGACGTCAGTCTCAGTGCGATTAGAAACGACGAAAAATGGCTCTCAACACCATGATCCGGACGTGTCTTTTTTTCTGTCTCTTTTTTTTCAGTGTGGCCTTCAGGTTGGTTTATCGTGGGGTGGCGTGTTGTGCTGCCGTCGTCGTGTTCAGGTAGACATGCCTCGTCGCATTTTCGAGGAGAGCGTTTTTTGGTTGTTTTTACTACTGTGGTGCGCGTGTGCACTTCGGTTGGAAGGCAGGGAACGAGTGGGAACATGTTGTGGATGTTTGTACATATGTGCTGGTTTGTGATAAAAGGTGCTTCGTGCCTGCTCTGAAATGGAAACTGCGTCCGGCTGTTGGGCCTGTCTAGGACCGGGTGGGCAAGAATTGCAGCCGATTCAACCGTCGCGGTATTTTTCTGGTACGTCCGCTTTTTTGAGTCTCGCAGGAAAGTATGCTTACCAGCAGGCTGAATTGGTTGCGAAGTATGCACCCGATTGCAAGAAATCGAATATCCAAAAAAAAGATGCTCCCTCACTCATCTTGCGAAAGTACCGCCTCCCCCCCCAGAGAAAAAACGCCCAAACGAGCTGGTGTAGAGGAGCAAATCGTCGTTGAATCTACTTTCTTTCGGATCATCGTTATGGACGGAGCACTGGGTGCGATCATCATATTCGATCGCCGCCCTCGGTGAAGCAGAAATGAGGTCAACAAAAATGAATAATAGCTCGTGTTGCTGTTGTTGTCTTCACATCTTGACATTATAAATCCGTCCCGGTCTCCGCTCAGTACCTCATAGTGTTCGTACTGGTCCAGCTGACGCGGCCGTCTTCCGTGGTCACAACCAGGTACTTGTAGTGTTGTAGTGGGTGAAAAACAAAAATCGATCGCGCAGCACGGCAGAGAATTCGCTTTCACGGCAGGGGCAATCGAGCTTCATCCTGACAAAGCATACTTTTTCTATCATGAAAACATACAGCAAACGCGCTATTATTGAAGTCGCGACACTCATCCTCTTCGCAGATTATCGGGCTGGCGTTGCAAAGTGGCGTCGTCCATCTACTCTTGGAGCGATCTGATATCCTAACAAACGTAGACAAGACCAACTACCCCCAGGTTACCCACCCACCAAATGTCGCCTTTGCCTTCAGTACAAATGCCTATCTCAAGGTGTAGAGAAAACGCAGGACGAGCAAGTTGGGCCAAAGCGCGAAGGCCGAACGTGAAGGATGTCCTCGAGGCGCTTATTTGGCCAGCACGCTAACGGCAACAGAAGGCGGCACAGACAACAGTGAGGTTATCATCGCGAGAGGTGTCCAAGAAGTTCGTCCACAACAAACAACAGAGCGGGTGCCTGATCGTATCCCCGGCCAATTTCATACTGAGGTTTCCGTAATGCAGTGGTCGTTGAATACGAAATCGTATCCCCATTTGGGTTCCCCTGCCGATTTCAGCTTGAGGTTCCCTAATGCAGCGTTCCCCCGACGTTGGTGGGTAGTGCAGCTCTTCAATGCGGAGGTTCTCCTTGCACTGCTGTTCTGGTCAAATGCCAGTACAGCCGGTGCATGGGTTCGAGAAAGAGAGGGGGTGGTTCATGATTCCACGGAGCCGCTTGCGATCGCAGGCTTCGGTTTTGTCCCACCAAGGCTGAGACATAACAGATGAGACCACAAACTAACCAACCAACGTGTTAGCGCACCTCAGGTGAATTCCTTTCGCGCAAATGGCGTGCCTACACAAGTAATGTTGGGCTAAGTTTGCTTTCGCTCCTTCTCAAAACATGGATGCGTGCCTGCGCGTGTGTGAGGGTCGCAAATTACGTCCAAAGCTGGTGCGGTGCCAACTGGTGTAGTAGCACGCGACTGCCATGATTTTGTGCATAAGCGCGCCGCGTTTGAATTTGAATCGCAAACCCTGCAGCATCCGCGGTGATCTTTATATAAAAAGTAGCTGCCGTACCGCCCTCCACCAATCCTGTCCGTTTATTTCTCCCCGGGTGACATGTGTTTGGGTTGGTTGACCTGGCAGGCCTGATACCAACCACAAACGCACGCGAAGATCGATGTGTGCATTGCTTGTTGATAGAGCTATGGTCGGAGATGCGGGGGAAATTGAATGTGTTGGGTGGGATCGGGGCGTTTGCACAGCAACAAGCTGGGGTTCACACTTGCTGTTCATGTTATTTTTGCTGCTCTTCCTGTGGGACTCCGTTGTTCTGGTTGCCCTGGACTACGGCGAGGTAGGCCAGTCGCCAGTTGTTCTCGTCCAACGCAGCTGTACGCCGCACACCAGTCCGACTGCGGAATCGTATACATATACATGCACACCTCCCGCTCTTTTTCTTTTTCAACGCGCCTGCATCTATTGCTGTACGCACTACATGTGCTTGCTCTCAACCACATCTTCAAGCCTAGCCCATTCCTGCCCCGCACCTACCAACCTGCGCTGTCGTTACGTTTCCGCAGACAGTGACAAGCAGCAGGGGGTGGGTGCCTCAAGCCTGAGATCTCGAGTAGTTCAGGCGCCCCCAGTGTTATGGTCGGTGCATTTTTCTCTGCCGCAAGGAAACCCGAAATTTTCTGATTGTTTTTTCAATACAGTCGTGGGCCCGGTTTAGCGGTCCTAGAGTGTCACGAAATTTCATTACCGCTATTGAGGGCATCGCCGCTTAACTACTTTAGCGGTCATGAACCGCTATACCGGGCAAAAGCCCATGTTTGCCCTATTCTGCCATGTGTCGCGTATCGATTATTCTTAATCCAAAAATAATATTTCTGGTATCTGCCTTGCGCGCTGGAGGAGCGGCGTGCGCTGCGAGGAACGCCATTTTTGCCTTGCGAATGAGTGTGCTGCTTCGCTTATTCCACCTGACTCCGCGCTCTACGCGCTGGCCAAAATCCAATGATAGCTCCGAGTATGGTGGCGGCGCCATCACCCCGCTGCCCTTCCCACCGTCAACTTGTGCCGTGGTACCTAGCCCTAGGTCTAGGTCGTCGTGTCGTAGTCGGAGGGGTTAGGCCCCCCTCCATGTACATACTGGACAACTTTCAACAACCTCGACATTTGCGTCCCTCTATGCAAAGCTTCGGCGATTTCTTCCTGTGCGCACTATTTCTGAGTGCGCTACCTTCTGGTGAAGAAGCTTCAAAACCTCGAGCTTCTAAGCCAAAGTAGAGCCGCGTGTGGTGCTGTTGCTGCGTAGCTGCAGCGCGAGTTGTTTCTTTCCGCGCGCCTGGTGCGAGAAAGCCACCTTCCTCCTCTCGGCACTTGGGCGGATTTGAGAAGTGAGGGGAACTCTGCGCCTTCTTAGTTGCACGCCGGTTGCATCTCGTCGTCATCCGGATCCTCCACCTCCCCACCACTTATGCCGTGTATGCGGGCGCCACAGCAACCTGTACAATCGTGCGCGCCGTTTGGACTCAGTGCCGCATCTAGAAGCTTGCACAGTTCTCCATCCATGCGCCGCATGGTGTGTCATTTCTACAAGCATCGACCGCGCTAACAGGTTGACCAATAAAAACACGTCGTCGTCCGTCTCAGCGCGGTTGAAAACACACAACACTTCTATTAGCCATTAACTGGGACCCCGTGAGGGGGCGGCATGGGGCAGGCAAAAGCTATTCCCCGGATTAACGACAGAAACGGTAGCAACAGAGGAAAACTGCTACCTTGCACTCGAGTTCGTTTCGGAGTGCTTTCACCATCATCCTCCTTGCTTTCACCACCATCACTCTCATCGTCGTTTTTTCAGCTATTTTCGGCAATTCTTCCCTAGCCCTGCGTCGTTTGGTGTGTGTGTCTCGCTGTGTCCTTATTGTGAACACCGACCAGCTAATAGGCTGACTAATGTCACTGGGCTGTGNGGACCCCGTGAGGGGGCGGCATGGGGCAGGCAAAAGCTATTCCCCGGATTAACGACAGAAACGGTAGCAACAGAGGAAAACTGCTACCTTGCACTCGAGTTCGTTTCGGAGTGCTTTCACCATCATCCTCCTTGCTTTCACCACCATCACTCTCATCGTCGTTTTTTCAGCTATTTTCGGCAATTCTTCCCTAGCCCTGCGTCGTTTGGTGTGTGTGTCTCGCTGTGTCCTTATTGTGAACACCGACCAGCTAATAGGCTGACTAATGTCACTGGGCTGTGAGTACAGTCGTCCCCGCTTTAAAGACACCATTTTTAAAGACACTCCCCGCTATAAGGACACAACATATCAGAAACATAGTGCCCCGCAGATGTGAAAAAGTAGGNGTGCTTGACCATTTTCACACAACGTGGTGCGATCATCCCCTTTGCGCGGAGCGAGAGTTTTCCACCCCGCACAACATGATCTACTCGACCACCATTATGGTTACCGCCCCCCCCAAAAAAAAACGGACGTAAAAAAAAAACAAACGGTAACCTGGTTGCCG